TCAACTGTTAGGTTATTATGAAATAATCTTGTGAGGCATTGTTATTTCACATTGACCTTACTGGAGAGCTGGGTATTTTAGAGTGACTTTTAGTAAACTATTATTTAACCTCATTTGAAAAACACAATGTACATGTTCAGGGTTGTTTTTTCTATACCTAATTATTGTAACACTCTATGCATCTAAAATTTCAAACCTTGACAACCTTCTAGCAGAACTACCATACTGTTAGGCAGAGTGAAATGGCTGCAGATCTTAGTTCCAATTAAAGCACAGAAGATTACTAGTTCTCTTTTCTGTTGTACAGTGGGACCCTAGGATTAGTACCAGCCGTTTCAGTTATCTGCTACCTGAAAATATTAAATAATGCTCCATTCCCAGAATACTGTACTGTACTATGTTTCTATGATGTACTACCAAAACTGACCACTAGAAGGTAGCAGAGACTATGCTATACAGTGGTGCCCCGCGTAACGACGATAGTCCATTCCGGATAAATCATAGCTATCCGGGGCAAAAAACCCCATAGGAACGCATTAAACTCCGTTTAATGCGTTCCTATGGGGACAAAACTCACCGCTAAGCGGAAATCCTCAATCCAGCCACCATTTTTGCCGCCTCGGTAAGCGACGAATCGGTGCAAAAACACTGCGGGTGGCCATTTTCTTCTTCTGGCGGCCATTTTGGAACCGCCGATCAGCTGTATGAAAACATCGCAATGCGAAGACTGGTAAGTGAAATGCTTACCGATCATCGCAATGCAATATTTTTCCTATTCAAACATCGCAATGCGATCAGTTCTTCGATCACAAAATCCACATCGCTATGCAGATTCATCGTTAAACGGTGCACTCGTTATGCGAGGCACCACTGTATATAGGTTTGCTATATGTGGTTTTTGACACCTGTGGGCACGGGGAGGCTTGGAGCCTTATCCCCCATGGATACTGAAGTCCTACTGTATTTACTGCTAGTTGGGGGAACAGATTGTGAAGGAGTGAGAGATGTAAATGAAAGAGTGAGTGAGTGAGCGAGCCGTCCCCTCATACCAATGAGACAGAAGAAAAAGAGAAGGCGAAAGGGGTTGTGATAGGAGGGATGAAAGATCTGAGTGTCAAAGAGAAAGAGAAGGCGGGGTTAAAAGGAGAGAAGAAAGGGGTAGAGCTTTTTCTAACTGCATAGGAAAAAGTGGGTAGAAAGTAGAAGTTATCAGTTTGGGAGAAGGAAGAAGGAGGAGGTGCAAGGGGGTCTCAAGTCTTTGGAATACTGATAAAGGAGGAGTTGAAAGGAGGAAAAGAGACCGGAATAGAGAGAGAACCCAGAGAATTGTATGTAAAGACTAGAGAATTGTTAGCTGACTTTCCTAATCTAGTAAAAGTTGGAGGGCTGTTACCTGATCCACCTAATGTAAAGACTGGAGAAGTGTTACCAGACCCCCCCTTAGAATGAACAGTGGTGGTCTTTCTGTGCGGACACGGTTCTCGGAAGAAGGTGGTTCGCACCCAGGACCTATACCTCTCTGTTCCAAGTTGTGGGACAATTTGTGTAGTCCAGAATGCTCCCTTGAGGAAGCCTATCAACCGGGAGCGATTTGGACCAGACCCCCAGTAAATAAAGAGAAGTTGAATAAAGAATCAAAGTTATCTTGGATTGAGTCCCCGTTGAATGTTGGCACAACTGGCCCTATTGAAGTTGTTGTGGACTCTCCTGTTGTTGACTTTAATAAAACGTTAAACAAAAAAGATGATACTCCGTTATTTGTACTTGCCGAAAAGGAGAAACTGCTCAAGCTTTTTACTGAACCCAATCACACAGATGTGTTAGATTTTCCGCTTTATATGCCAAATAATTCAGTTAGCTTTGGGTGGCTCTGGTTGCTGTTTGCTGTTCCACTCCTGGCAGGAAAATGTCTTCGGCTGCCCATGCCTTCTGGAATATAACTTGATATACCCTCTTATACAGGGCTAGGACAGGAAGTACAACTTTAGACACAATCTTTTCAAAAAACTCTTCATATTCTGTAAATGAAGAAGCATCCCTTGTAAAGAAATTGCTACCATGTATAAGCACAGAACGCTGAACACCTAGAATAGCCATGTTAAACTTCAATTCAAATTCCACATTTTTCTTCAGGTTTCCTTTCACAGTAACATCTTTTTTATTCTCCAAAATCTTTAAAATACGGTACTCTGTTTCCTCTGGTAACTTAACCAGTAACACATCCTGGGCTCTCAAACAGCTGTATATTTTGTGCTTACGAACACTGATTTTGTTTACATAGAGTTGAGAGTTGGGTAATAAGTCCCGTCCTTCTTCCTGATATTTCTTTTTTAAAGTCCTGAAGATTTCTTTATATTTCTCATACAGCTCATTTTCTGGAATTGTGTTTGGCACCTCATCAGTTTCTTCTTTGGCATAGTTTTTAATTACACTCTTTTTGTATTTAATGTCTTTAATTTTTTCCTGTTCACTGTAATCAAGAGGCTCAATAAACTTATCCTTTGGCAAGGCCTGAACATTCCTTTTCTCTTCATTAACTAAGGATTTTTTCATTTCATATTCCATTCTTGACTCACTTACAGATAATCCAGTCTTCTGAATGGAGTCATTGTGGTTTTTGTATTCATTCATATCGTTACTGACTTCCTGTTCATCTGCAGCAGCAGATTCAGTAACGGCATCTTCCTTGTAATTTTTCCATCCACGTGTATCTTTAATGCCTTCCTGTTCATCATCATCAGCAGATTCAGCAGAGTCATCCTCTGTGAAGTTCTGAACATTTCTTTTCGTTTTATGAGCCCCCCTCTTTTTATTGGTCTTACTAGCAGAGAACAAGAGAGCAAGTATTTTCTTAGGTACCATTGGTAATTTCTTATCACTGTTATTTAGAAAAGAGTTTAGATCTCGGCAATAGTACAGGTTGTAATATTGCTGACTAGTGAGTGAAAAGGAATTCTTCAGTGTACTCCCTGACAGGTGCTTTTCCAATGTTTCAAATCCAGCAGGTTCCAGCTGTTTTTCTAGCTGCTTTATCAACTGGTCTTGATTTTTAAAAGCATAATCCTCCATATCAGAAAGCTTGA